AAAAAAAAAAAAAAGTTAACACAGGAGCATTTCTACTCTGTCCTGTAGGGTCCTAGGAGCCTATTAAATGTTCTGTAATTCCAATTCTTTGCAATCATCCATAGTTTATATCCATGAGCCACACAGTCAAATGCCCTTTTTCTTTCTTTTTTTCCCCCCGAACTCCTCTTTTGTCATCAATAAAACACAGGTTAAGTATCTCTTTGGTATTCTCTGCTTTCAGCCAAGATCCATCAACCATGTTCTCCATCTGCTTCTGAAGCCTGATTAAATTTCTGGCAGTTCCCTGTTGATGTCCTGCTGCAACTGTTTTTGAAATCTCAACAAAATTTTATTTATCGATGATGTTATTCGATAATTTCCATTTTCTTTTGGACATCTTTCATTGGATGAAAGCTAGCCTTTATGAAGCACAAAAGAGAAGTTGAGAAGAGCAATTGGTGATTGGTGGCAGTAGCTAAGCAGGAGAATGAGCAGGCTGGATTCTGAAGTCTACGGGGAAGGGGCATTCAAGTTAGCAGTTAATGGAGAAGTTAAACACTCAGCTGCTAACCTATAGTATTCAAAACCACCAGCTGCTCTGAGCTGTTCCTATAAAGATTACCGCCCCCCCCCCAAAAAAAAAAATCCTCAATGCCACTGAGTTGACTCCTAGAAATTCTTTTGAGGTCGTTCTGTTACACCCACTGACATGGAGAGATGGCCGTTTGGATCAGAGTGGAAGGTGGTTTTATACCATCAGTTGCTCACGGGTTCCCTCTTTCATGCATCCAGCAGAACAAGAGGCCACTTCACAAAGGGAACTTTTTCCAAATGAGGTGGAAAACTGATCCTGGAATAACCCTGGGGGTGGGGGTGGACCTACCGTCTCACAGAGATCTTAAATAGCAACAGAGCTCCTTTTGTGTGGTTTCTGAAGCCTGACATGTGACCTGGCCAGGGCAGCAAGGTGGCCATCCCAGAATTCATGAATGTATTCAATAAATATTGAGTTCTCTGTACCAGGCAGGCAGCATCCTGGGACCAGGTGGGAATACTCTGGGGCATGAGACAGACAAGGTCCCTGCCCTTAGGGAATTTATAGACAAAAGAAAACCAATCAACCAACCCTGTCCCCCTCCACCAATGAATACATAAATAAACAGGATCACTTTGAAACATGCTATTAAGAGTAATGAGGCTAAGGATTCTGGGTCACATAAGCCCAAAAGCTGAGGTCAGAGGGGGCAGGCCACAGGAATTTTTATGTCACAATGAAGGTGGAGAAGACCCGTGGAAGCCTTTACATAATGAAATGAAAGAGTGATTTGTTTTACAATAATGTCTTTTCAGCTGCTTTGTGGTATAAAATGTTGGGGCTCAAACTGAAGTCAGAAGATGACCCTGCATTCTGCAAATCCACCCTGAGACCTTTACCAAAGCTCTTCAAGGATCCTCCGGTCACAGTAAACATTCTGCAGCCTAGTGGATAGGAATCTCAAAGGTTGGAATCCCGCCTTGGCTTCAAACCTTGGTACCCACTTACGAAGACATTTTGGCAAGTTATTTGATTGTGCCCCAGCGATCTCACTGGTGAAAAAACTCACCGCCATCAGGGTGCCCCCCCACCCCCGCCCACCCCCGTGAGTTCTCTTTATGGGAGTTACTTTTCACACACAGGAGCTCAGAGACATCCCAGCATAATCAAACTCACTTTCATCAAGTCCATGCCAACCCACGGTGACAAGGTAAAACTGGCCCTCAGAGGTCCAGAGACTGTAACTTGACAGGGATAGAAAGCCCTGCCTTTCTCCTGCAGTGCTGACTGGTGGATTGAACTACCTAGCTTAATGCTTAACCATTTGGGCACCGGAGCTCCTGTCTGTGAAATGGGGATAATAAGAGAGTCTGTCGCCAAGGTGAAGAGTTCTGGTGGTGTAGTGGTTACGCAGTGGGCTGCTAACAGCTAGGCCAGCAGTTCAAAACCACCACTGTTCACCAGGAGAAAGACTGGGCTTCATCCCCCTGTTAAGAGTTACAGTCCTGTCACTACGAATTGGTATCGATCGACTTAATGAAAGTGACTTTGGTTTTTGGTTGGATGTCTTACGGTTCTTGTGAAAATTAAGCTAATTAATATATGTAAGGTATGAAGAGCAGTTCTCGGCGCAATGTTGTAAGTCCTCAAAAATATGATTCCCGGTACTTCTCTCGGGATTACTGTAAGAGTCACATGAGATAAAGACTGCGAAAAGCCCTGTTAAACTGTCGGCGATCTTAGTGGTAGACTTCCTGCTTCCCTTTCCTTTGAAGCGATACACACAACTCTGGGCTCTCCGCAGAGGATCGCGGCCAAGCGCCGACTCAAAGCGCTCATTGTCATCCAGCCGCCCCTCCCCCCCGCCGGAGTGCGTCTCCATGGCAACGCGGGGGCTTCGCCTCTCCCCGCCCCCTCGGGCCAGCAGACCGGAAGCAGTCTCCGCGCCGAAGCCTTCTGGGAAGGGCTTGTGGAGCGGCGTTTCTGCGTCGGCCGTGGACAGCGAGCTGCTGCGGGTCCGGAGCCGGAGGTGTGCGTCCGAGCGGGGCAAGGGTGTCTGAAGGGGGCGCTTGGTCCAAAGCTGCGGTCCGCGTGGAAGGAGCGGGTGAAGGAACCGGGTCGGGGGACCTTCCTCCGCTTCCAGGGGGCGTAAGGAACCGGCCGCGTACTCTGTACCCCGCAGCTAAGGGACGGGAGGGGAAGACAGGGGACCTGCTCGGATCCTCGCCACCTGCAGCGCGTCCTCGCCCATTCCTGTGTCCCCCGGTGGTCCCCGCTTCCCCCCTCCCCCACCGGCCGGTTTTGTTCTATTTCGAGGCCCGGGCGTATCTCGCGGAGGGTTCTGGGACTAGATTGGGGGCGGAGGTCGGAGCAGGAGGGTCTGGCGCGAGGGCTGCCGGGACTTGTAGTCCCACCAGCCCCGGGCGGAAGTGCCGCGGTTTCGACCAGGGTAGCCGGGTAGCCTTTGCTCTTCAGGGAAGAGGGGCCGGCGGCGGGATCCGGAGCGCGCAGTGCAGGAGCGCGCTGGGCTGGGCCGGTGCTCTTCACCTGAGACGCTGCTGGCTTGCCCGCCAGGTGCCCTCCACGTACCGCGGGCACGATGCCCTGAGAACCTAAAGGAAGGGAACCGGTTTCGTGGAGAGCTGTTTGAGTGGTTGATAAAGTAGGTTCCCGGAGTACAGGAGGAATGTGTTGGCTAAACCCGGTTTATAGGCCGCTACACTAGAGTCCTTCATTAAACCTGGATTAAGGGGTAGGGGGGGCGGTTTCCAAAAAGTTCATGGGATCAAATGGGAATGGAATAATTCCTCGAACTTTTGGAAACGCCTTGGTATTCCTCCCAAGGGGTTTTCTGAGTCCCCGCCTTCATCTTGGGGATTGCAGTGAATTTCTGGAAGTTCACAGCTTTTCAGATTCTGGGCCTGAAATCCACGGTGATGACTTGGCTTATTATTTGTGTTCCCTAGAGTGCCGCAGACATGACTGTGCAATACTAAGGGAAGGATCAGGAACCGCACTTAGTAAATTCCTGAGTCATTAGACTGGTTTCTGCGCGGTAACTTTTTCTTGAGGTAGTTTGTGTTGCTTGTGCACAGAATCCTGGCTGTGCAGTGGTTAAGCACTTGGCTGCTAAGGTTGCCCGTTCAAACCCATTATCTGCTGCTGGGGAAAAAGATGTGGCAGTCTGCTTCTGTCATTATTTCCAGCCTGGGAAACCCTTGGGGTCTTGTTTTACTCGGAATCTACTGGGTCCTAAAGGGCTGCTGTGAATCAGAGGAGGATGGGTGGCAGTTTCTGGGGGTTTCTTGTTGCTGCCTGTTGTTCAATGTGTGTCCTAAATTTAAATGTGTGTTACGGTGTTCTGGGTGACAGAATATTCGTATTGTATGGCACCTGGTGTAACTTTCAATATTGTTTGGCCTGCTGTTGGCCAACTGAATATTTTTTTTAATAAATAGACTGAAAAGTTCCCACTTTTTCCCCGCCAGTATTCACAAAAACAAACCATCTCAATGGTTTTTTTCATGTACGAATGAGCAAGATAGGATATATTCTTAAATGTTACAATTCTTTCTAGAGCACCCACTCTTCATCTTGAATGGCTCTATTTTTAAAAAGGGGGGGAAAAAACCTGCCATTGAGTTGGAACTCGTAGTGACCCTGTAATGACAGAGCTGAACTGCCCCGCTGGTTTCCAAGTCTGTGAGTCTTTCACTGAGTAGAAAGCACCTCTTCCTCCCAAGCTGTAACTGCTGGTGGTTTCTAACTGCTGACTGGTAGCTGCCCCAGGGCACATCCCATGCCACCACCAGTGCTCCTCCGTCTGGCTCTATGGACTTTGAGAGTTCATGGTGTTGTGTGCCTATCATGAAGGGGCAAAACCCTGTCACTGCCCTAAATATGCCCTGGGCTGCTCATGGCCACACCTTTCCCCTCTGAATCTCTGGCCACTGATCCTGTAACTTCCCCTGGAGTTCTGGTAAGGTGCCTGGCTGCCAACCAAACAGCAGTCTACATTTGAGTTTGGCCAAGTGTGCCTTAATTCAGTGGTTCTCAACCTTCCTCATGCTGCAACCATTTAATACAGTTCCTCCTGTTGTGGTGACCCCCAACTATAAAATGATTTTTGTTGCTACTTCATAACTGTAATTTTGCTACTGTTATGAATTATGTAAACATCTGATAAGCAGATGTATTTTCATTATTACAAATTGAGCATAATTATAGCATAGTGATTAATCACAAAACAATATGTAATTATATATTGTGAATTATTTGTGTTTTACGATGGTCTTAGGCGACCCCTGTGAAAGGGTCGCTTGACCCGCAGGCTGCCTTAATTGGAAATGCATGGTTCGAGGGTCCAATGCTGGGGTCTCTGGGTGACATAACCACTAGCCAAGAGGTTGGTTGAACCCGTCCAAAGCACCTCAGAAATGGGCCTGACTGAAAATTTGCTTTGGAAAGGTTCAAACCAAACTCATTGTCATCGAGTCATTTCCAACACACAGCCACCCTATAAGGTGGTAGAACTGCTGGCGAGTTTCTCAGAGTGTAGAAAGCCTCATCTTTCTCCCAGGGTTTAGAACTGCTGACCTTGCAGTTAGCAGCCCAACATGTAACTGCTATGCCACCAAGGTTCCACTGAAAGATCACAGCCCTGGAAACCCTATGGAACAGTTCTGTGTGCACATAGGGTTGCATCTCAGTGGCAGCTAACAGTGGCAAGTTCAAATGCAGACTCTGCGTTTAACTGACTTAAAGGTTGGTGATTCAAACCAGTCCCACAGAAGAAAAGCATGACTATCTTTTTGTGGAAAGATGACAGCCAAGAAAACGATGGAGTAGTTCTGCCCGGTCACACATGAGGTCCCCCTGAGTTAGAGTCTATTCCGTGACAACGGGGGACGTGACAACGGGGGACGAGAGAAAGCACGGGCCTGTGGTGGTTCTGCTGAGCTTCTTGTTATTACTAAAGTAGGGTTTGTTAATTTTGTAGTTCATAAGTTGGCAAACATTTTCAGGCAGTGTCACAGTGACTACCTGTGTAGTAGGAAACTAGAACAAATGAGTGTGATGTGTTCCAATAGTACTTTATTAATGGACAGGATTTTGAAGTTCATTTGCTGTGCTATGAAATGTTCTTTGATATTTTCAGCCATTTGAAAATGTGAAAACTCATTTTAGCATCAGAGCTATACAAAAGTTGGCAGGCCGAATTAGATAGCAAGCTGTAGTTTGCTGGCTTCTGATGTAAGTTAACGATTGAAAGTTTTCAAACAGTAGAACACATACTTTTACTGCAATACACTAGTTTTCCTCCCACCACCTTAACCAGTTATTCAGTCACGTGAGTAATTTCTTTTTCCTTATACTTCAGGAGTGCCTGTGAAGAAAACGTCGTTTTCCCTGAGGCCTGTGCCCTGCCTTGGTTATCTTTTCTTGAAGTATTCTAGTTCAGGATGTCCGCACAATCAGTGGAAGAAGATTCAGTACTTATCATCCCAACTCCAGAGGAGGAAGAAAAAATTCTGAGAGTGAAGTTAGAAGAGGATCCCGATGGTGAAGAGGGATCGAGCATCCCCTGGAACCATCTTCCCGACCCAGAGGTTTTCCGCCAACGGTTCCGGCAGTTTGGGTACCAGGATTCACCTGGTCCCCGGGAAGCTGTGAGCCAGCTCCGAGAACTCTGCCGTCTGTGGCTCAGGCCAGAGACGCACACAAAAGAACAGATCTTGGAGCTGGTTGTGCTGGAGCAGTTTGTAGCCATCCTACCCAAGGAGCTGCAGACGTGGGTTCGAGAGCACCATCCCGAGAATGGAGAGGAAGCGGTGACGGTGCTAGAGGATTTGGAGAGTGAGCTGGATGACCCTGGACAACCGGTGAGCCTGCCTGGGTCACTTTCCTGGGTGGGAAATGGGAGCTTACAGGACAGAGCTGCTGGGTTACAGCTTCTCGTGCAGCTGCAGTAAGTAGCACCGTGAGCCTGCCTTGTTCCCCACTGCTCCCCGTCTCTGAGCTGCTTTGTCACCTAGACCTGTGGCAGGTAGGTAGTCCCCCGTTTACTGTTGATGACCCATTCAAGTCAAACAGCTCTTTGAATTAGAGAGACCACGCTATGACCCTCTGTTCGTTGTTTGTAAATTTATAGATGATTTCAGTCCTCAAAGATAAAAGTGGGATGTGCTGATAATAAAAAGTAATAACAATGTAAACTTTTTTTTAACAGTGTAAACTTAAAAAAAGAACAGCTCAACTTAACATCAGAACCAGCTTACAGTGCTAAGTCAGGGGCTCCCAGTGTGTTTTACAAGATTCTTCCCCCATGTGTTTAGTTCTGGTTCTCCTCCAGATTCCTTCCCAGCTGAACCACATCCCATTATTTTCAGGTTTCTCTCCGACGGCGAAAACGGGAAGTGCTAGTAGAGGAGGTAGTGTCTCAAGAAGAAGCTCAGGGATTACCAAGTTCTGAGCTTGATGCTGTGGAGAACCAGCTCAAGTGGGCCTCCTGGGAGCTGCATTCCCTGAGGCACTGTGGTAAGAACCTGTGTGGTGGAGCAGGAGCGTGTGGGCCTTGGCCATTCGAGGCTGTCTCTGGGGGCCTCACCAGTTTTGTCCAGAACTCGCTGCTCGTTCTCCCCATAGGAAGGGGTGTGACTAGTAAGCGAGGCCTTGGACACACTGTAGGGTCTTGATCTGACTTCACACTTTTTATCGCCAGACAGTCATGTCATCAGCCTCTTTGTCCCCTTCAGCTTCTTTCTTGAAGACTTGCCCTTTCTCGGCTGGCATTTGCTTTGCCCCGGGCCAGCACCTACATAAAGATCAAGCTTTCATTTTGCATGTGGTATTGGTTATCTGGA